ATTGTATTCATTTTTTTTTCAAAAATCAAGTGCCAGCATTTTAACGCAATATTGGTTATATTAAATCTAAAATGTTGGTATASTCATCATTATCATTTATATATTTTTATAGCTGTAAACCATTATACAAAATACAATATTCAATACATGTGTATGTAAATAATGTATATAATAATTCTTCATAAATAATGTAAACTATGTCAGCCAATGGTCTCCGCTGCCAAGGCGTATTTCTAATAAAAAAAAATATATATATATATATATATTCAATATACAAAATATGCATAATACATATTCTGATGTACATACGAACTACCTATAGTTTTATTATAAAATTAAKTATAAAGTATTGGGCAATGAATTATTTAGTAAATAATATGTTTGATTTTAGGTATTCTTTGTTTTAAGAAAAAAACAATCTCATGTTTCATTTTTACACGTGTATCATCATGTAAATATGGTCGTCACTACTTGGACATTTTTGAGATTTATTAAAGGTAATCCTTAACCTCTTATACGTAATAATTATATTATCTTAGAATTTGATACCTTATGATTATTATATTATGCAATAGAAATTGTCTATCACATAATGATGTTCGAGAAGCCAGGAATAGGTAACAATATGTGTCATCAACATAAAAAAAAATATATATATATTTACAAGAGATTGTAGGTGTATTCTACTATATTTTAATCACGAAATTTTAATTCTATGTATAATATATATTATTGAAAATTTGAAAATAAAAGCATATTTTGATTACATGTAATTATTGTTYATGAAGTAGATATGTACATAACATATAAAGTAAATCTATTAGGTATTTGTCTAATGGCATTTGATTCACTGACATTGAATAATATGAATAATATTTTGAATAATCCTGGTTGCTTCTATGATATCTCATCCGTATMGTAAATTATGTTAAGTTAAAACATTCTTATAAAAATAATAAATTGGTCTTTGTATAATAATATAGCTTACACGTGAAATAAAAATTGTAGGGAATCAATACTTTCAACAAACTAATATAACAATTATGKTTTTGCAGTTCAACAAGGAGCTATCTGTGGTGCTCTCAACGCATTAATACATTCAATAATGTATAGTTACTATTTTTTATCGGCTCTTGGTCCTCATATGCAAAAATATTTGTGGTGGAAGAAATACTTGACCCGTTTACAAATTGTAAGTAAAAATTATCAGTGCCATATGAGAAAAATAAYAAAGCATAGCATATATTACCTACCTATAGGTGCAAATCGTCGAAATAGATACTTATCCCATTTTATACGATTAAACAAATTTAATATAATATATACATATTAATAAGCAGTAACCTATTGTACAAGAAAATTGTACAATAAAATTTAGTTACTAAGTACCTAAATTACAATTTATTAACAAAAAATACATCATTGCATAATGTGGCGGGCAAATGTAAGTAATATAGTGGGTAAAAATCTCCCATACAACTTAAAAACGTAAAGTCCCACACAAGAAAAATTTATAACGAATACAATTAATAATTTACTTTCCCCCTGTATCAGACTTTTGTAATAGGGCACACAACTTAACGTAGTTGCTGTGATTTTTATTTGTTTTTTGTTGAATAAAAAAAGTCTAATMTAATTAAATAGATATAGTGTATATAGATATTGACGTATATAGTCATTTTATTATACGTTAATTAAATTAAACTTTTTTTATGCAACACAAAAACAAACAAATTTCAAGTTCTAATTATCAAAAATGTTTCGTGGTGGAACTTACATAGGCCATTATGTAACCGTATGCGTGCTATTTTTCATGTGGGGACTTCRATGTAATGATGTATTTATGAAAACCTCAATATTGCAGCCCTTATCGGTTACCTTACCTAAATTTTGTAAACATATCGACGATTTATGCCTGTTAAAGCTAATATTCTATACCTAAGGTAGTTTAATGAAYAATAATATAATAAATATCATTTGATTTTCAGATTCAATTCATATTAGGCATTATCTACGGTATAAGCCTTTTTATTTACGATTGCGAATTTCCGAGACTATTCACTATTTACATGATATTCGACGTACTTTTATTTTTGTACTTGTTTTTAATATTTTACAAAAAAACGTACAAAGACAAAGAAACCTAAATCTCAATAAACTTCAAAGATACCTAACATAAAACATGTGAATTAAGTTGTGTCTATACATCTATAATATATTAATACATATACATAGGTATTTACGTGGATATTCGTAATGTTAATTATCAATTCAACAGTATAAAATACGTAGGTACCTATAACTAATTATATAGAAATATCAAACATTGAAGCATTGAACTGAATACCACCAATACACATCATTGGTAGGTAGTATGTGCAACAGGTATCTACATATTATATTATAATACACGTGAACCCAAAAGATCTTCGAAAACCAGAATTTTTTCGTCATCTGTTACGTAATTACAGTAAGACTAGTACTCTGCATGTAACCACAATTTAAGATAAACATACCTATATGCCTACTTTCATAAATAGAAATCTATTGTGGACATAATCCGTACACACCTAAAATGTACCTAGTTGTAGTCACTATTTGTAGGTACCATCATATATTCATTATTCATATATATTAAAGTGCGAAACGCGGACACTTTGTACTAGTGTAAACATAATATTACCTATATTAACTACTTAGGTACCTACCTACATAAATTATTGATATAACCGAATAATATAAAAAAGTCTGAATACCTAGTATACTTAATAAGTAATGATTAATGGCTAATRAGCAATTGGAAATTATACCAAAAATGTTATTAAGTTTAAATATAATTTGGTAAAATATCTAATTTGGTACCTAATATACGTACCTAACTATAATTTATATAGGTATTTATATTACAGCATCATA